CAGCCGCGGCGCCACGACCGCAAGCAGAAGGACAGGAGGAAGTGAGGGAGAGAGGTGGCTGCACTGGACACTTGGCCACAAGGGACAACTTCACTGGAGAAGGGGCTGAGCCTTTGGAAGTACTTTTTAGAGGAACTTTCACGCCTTCTTATCCGCTCTATCTTCTGGCCCACACGTGGGACTGGCGCTGGGCACGCGCCCGAGGGGAGAGGAGCCCCCCCTGGGCATCCCCCTCCCAAAAAAATCCAGGATCCTTGGAGAGCAGGAACCAGCTGGAATCGCTGCTGGGGAGGTTGGCAGAGGTGGAAAAGAAAAAACACAAAAAAAAAAATAATGAAAAAAAATACAAACTACTGTTAGGAACTGGCTTTAAATAAGAGAAAAAACAAAGGAGATTTAAGCAAATGAACTTGAAACACGAGTTAGAGGAGAGACGTTTGCTGAACTTCCAAAGTTCTGTGATTTCAGGTAGTTGGGGTTTGTTTTCCCTTTTTTTTTCCTTCAGGTTTTTTTCCCTTCCTTTTTTCCTTCCATATTTTCCTTCCGTTTTTCCTTCCTTTTCCCCTTCTTTTTTCCTTCCTCCTTTTTCATTTTTTCCTTTTTCCTTCTGTTGTTCCTTCTTTTTCCTTCCATTTTTTCCTTTTCCTCTTTCCTTTCTTTTCCCCTTCCTTCCCCACCACTTTTCCTTTTCCTGCCCCTGTTTTTGCCATCGCTGTGTGTGACTCAATTCCAGATTAACCAACATCCCTCCCTCGATCAGACCAGTGCACACATGAAAACACAACCTGCTGTGGCTTCCATTAACCCTTTCCAGTCTGAGCAAGCTCAGAAAGAGAGGGGGGAAAAAGAAAAAAAAAAAATCATTCCTGGGAGGAGGAGGAAGTGTGGAGGAGCTGCCGAGGCCTTGGGGAGCTGTGGCACTGGGGCAGTGGGACTGGAGAGGGTTAAGAGAAGCAGAGCTGCCCCTGGAGCATGGCACTGCCCCACGCATGGCTTCTCCCTCTGGCTGCCTGGGAATTGCTTGGGGAGGAATTTTTGGGGGCTCTAAGCTCCCCCCTTGGGTCAGCCAACAGCACAAGGGGTGCAGGGGAGGTCCCCCCAGGGGTGGCACTAGACAAGTTGTACTCCTGTCCCTTAATCATGCTTGGGTTTTTTGAGGGAGGAGGTTTCACCCCTAATTTTTCCCTCCCCCCTCCTTTAGGGTCTAGAAGTGCTTGTGTTGAGTTCAAAGGGAGAAGCCCAAACGTTCAAAGCTGCTCAATGTTCTCTTTGCCATAAAGATTCCTTGTAACCGTGTGATCACATTATAGGATTCTCTTCTGTCCCTCAGTGTTGGTCTGACTTTGTTTTTCAGGAGGGGGGTGGGGGTAGTGCCTTGATCACTGTCGGTCTCCAAGCCTGGAGACCATCCTAGAAGCTGTATTCCAATATAGCACAGCTGGAGTGGTACTGACTTTACCAGCAACCAACAAAAAATAGCTTAAAAAAAAAAAAAAAAAAAAAAAAAGGCTTTTTCCAAGCCAAGTCCTGTGCACAGGATCAGGGAGGGGATGGACACACTTGGGTGGGCACTCAAGGGAAGGATCTGGGGATGCAGGAGGAAGGCCTGGAACAACTTATGGTTTCCAGGTTTGGGGAGAAATTGAGGATTTGGGAGTGTATTGGGGTGGTTGGAACCCACTGAGATCCCAGTGGGTTCTACCATCAGCACTCCCAGACCTGTGAGATGAAGGTTTGTGGAGAATTAGAGGATTTGAGGTGGTTGGAACTCATTTTGATCCCATTGGGTTCTACCACTCATCACTCCCAGACCTGTGAGGTGTGAGATGAAGGTCTGGGGAGAAGTAGAAGATCTGGGAGCACATTGTGGTGGTTAAAACCCACTGAGCTTCCAGTGGGTTGCACCACCAGCACCTCCCAGGCGTGTGAGGTGTGAGCTGAAGCACAAGAGGTGGAGCTGTGGGTGTTGGGGAGGTTGGGAGGGAGCTCTGTGCGTCTGGTTGAAATGATTTTTTGGTTTTTTTTTTTTTTTTTGCCTCTTAAAAAAAACCTTTTGCTTTGAAAGCTCTGTGACCTGGCAGGGAAAGAAGAGAGATTGTGTGAGCACAGGACAAAAATAAAAATGGCTTATTCACTGTACCACCAGCAGTTTCTTGGCTTTTATTTGCTCTCCTTAAACGTGGCAGGGGGAAAACCAAATGGATTTTGCTCCTCTCACAGGAGCTCCGAGCTGGGAGCAGCTCTGGCAGCCCTGCAGGTCTCAGCCTTGGGAGGGAAAGGGAAGGAAAAGCTCCTCCTCTGGCTCAGCTGTTCTTTTTTTTCCTTCCTTCCTTCCCAGCAGGAGCTGCTCCAAGAAATCCAAGGAAAAGTGTGGTTCTGGTTAAATCTGCAGCTGTGTGCAAGTCAGTGGCTCTGGGTTGGAGCCACCCAAGCTGCTGCAGGGCTGAGGCTGAGGCTGAACTCTCCTTTTGGACAGGCCAAACCACCATTCCATCCCCACTCTGCTCTGCAATCTCCCACCAGCATTCCCAGGGGCCAAATGCCATTTTTCCTTAGGGATGACACCTCTCCCTAAGAGACAGGAAGGCTCCATGTACCCCCAGTGCCAATGTTGAGCCTGAGCTCTCTCCTTAGACAGAAAATCATCACTCCATCCCCACTCTGCTCTCCAGTCTCCCACCAGCATTCCATCCCCACTCTGCTCTGCAGTCTCCCACCAGCATTCCCAGGGACCAAATGCCATTTTTCCTTAGGGATGACACCTCTCCCTGTGGGACTGGAAAGCTCCATGTCCTGTTCTGAGCCTGGAGCAGCTCTGTGCACACCCCAGGGCAATGTGGAGCATTAACTCCATGCTCCAAGGGGATTTCAGCTGTTCCTTCAGGGCTGGGTTAGGATGTAATCCCAGCTCCCAGAAAACCCCAAAGGGATTCCCCCCAGGCCTGGTGATGGAGTGAGGAATCACAGCCCTCCCAAGGGGGAGCAGAGAAAGGCCATGAAGATCTGGGGAGGATTCCAAGGAGGATCCATTGCTCTTCCTTTCCCTGTTCCTGTGCCCAGACAGGCCTTTGGTGGTGCACAAACAGCCCAGAAAAACACATCAGGAAGCTCCAGAGGAGCAAAGAGCTGTGCCAGAGGCTGAGAAAACCCATCCCCTCTGGCTCCCTGCCTGTCCCATCCCATCCCATCTTCCCTCAGGGCTGTGGCTCCAGCCTGGAATGAGGTGAAGTGCAGACCTTTCCCTTCCCAGGCAGCAAGGACTGAGCTGCCAGCAGGGCCTGGAGCCACAGCTCAGCCCTTGGAACCAGCTGTGGCCTCTCTGTTCTGCCCTTGACTTCTTGGGGGGACAGAGGAGCTCCCTCTGCCCTTTCCTGTCCCACCCTGGAGCACCAATCCCAGGGAAAACCAGCACACATCACCCTCAGCCCTCTCTGAGCAAATCAAGAGGGCTCAAAACCTCTTTTCCTTGTGTCTCAGGAGGTGACAGTGCCCCAAAATCCAGTGCCTGCTGCAGCTCCCTCACAGCCAGACCCATCCCTGGGATGGAGAAGTTTCCAGAGCCTTGGATGAATGGCCTGGAGCTCTCCAGGGACCTGCAGCTCAATGAGGTGGGCAAACCCTGTCCTGCTCTGGTGATTAATGCAGGGTTCACTGCTGGTGGGCAGGGCAGCAGCTCACAAACAGCTGCCTGAGTGTCACTGAGGGACCCTTGTTGGACCCAAAACCTTCCTGCTCCATCCTGCACCCTGCAAACACCACAGAGCTCTGAGCTAGGAACCACTATCTCCCCTCAGGAACCACTGCTCTCCTAGGACCACCATCCTCCCTCAGGAACCACTGCTCTCCTCCTAGGACCACCATCCTCCCTCAGGAACCACTGCTCTCCTCCCAGGACCACCATCCTCTCCCAGGACCATTCTTCTCCTCCCAGGACCATTATTCTCCTCCCAAAACCATCATCTCCCTCCCAGGACCATCATCCTCTCCCAGGACCACCACCCTCCTCCTCCCAGGACCACCATCCTCTTCCAGTGTCACCATTCTCTCCCAGGACCATTATTCTCCCAGAACCATCATCTTCCTCCTAGGACCATCATCTTCCTCCCAGGGTCACCATCTTCTCCCAGGACCATCATCCTCCTCTCAGGAACCACCATCCTCCCAGGACCACCATCCTCTTCCAGTGTCACCATTCTCTCCCAGGACCATTATTCTCCCAGAACCATCATCTTCCTCCTAGGACCATCATCTTCCTCCCAGGGTCACCATCTTCTCCCAGGACCATCATCCTCCTCCCAGGAACAGTCTGACTCTGCTCTCCTCCATGCCCAGGAGCCTTCAGCACATCCACTCCAGACCTCAAGGGTGATCACCTCCACCTCAACACTCACCACAAGCACTGCCAGAGCTGAACCAAACCATCCAAACCCCCAAGATCTGCTGAAGGTTGAGGTGAGAATGGAATGAAAGGTCACTTACCACCTCTGGTGCTGTATCCTGGCTGGATACTCCAGCAGCATCTTGCTACATCAAACCAGGTCCCACATCACAGTTACTCCTCTTGTCTCCACGGCAAGCTTGGCCTCAGGAATCTGTCTAACCTCTCTGGCACTTCTCTTCTCCACATGGAAGGCAAAATAACTGAGAACCTCCTGCTCCAGAACCTGTTTCCACCTTCTGCTGTGCTCCCCAGGTGGGAACCAGTGACTAACCTTGGGCTGCATCAGGTCTAACCTTGCTCAGGGCTCACCTTCCCTCTGTGTCCTGCTCTACACTTGGCTCACTCATGTCATTCCCAAAGAGCTGGAAGGAAGGAGCAAGGTAGAGAGAAGATTTTTAAAAAAAGAGGAAAAAAAAAGAGGAAAAAAATCAGGATTATAAATCTAAAATTTTATTGAGACAAAAAAAAAAAAAAACAAAAAACCACCCCCAAAAACAAAAAACCCAAAAAACAAAAAGCCAAAAAAACAAACCTGACAGAGCTTGGTATGAAGTTAAAATCCAAACACAGAACTTGACATCTCAACATCTCACACAAACCTAAACACATGCTTTGTTAAAAACAAAGGTTTGTACAATGCAAGTCGAGATCCAACCACCCTAGGAGGAGGTGCCAGGAGTCACCTGGGGCTCAGGACTCATTTAAATAGTTGAGGATTTGGAATAAATCTCAGTTCAAATCAACCCCCAATTCCCCTTGGCAGGTTTAGGGTAACCCCTGTGGCTCCAGCACTGAGCTGTGACCCTTCCAAACCATCATTTCAGGGAGAATATGGAATTGAGTTGCTTTGCCTTGTGCTGTTGGTTCCCTCTCTCCTTCCCACACCTTCCCTCCACTGGCAAATTGAGGAGGGGGGAAAGGAACAAGTGGTCAGAAGTCTTTTCCTCCCCTCCCACCCCCAAAAAACAAACAAAAAAAGAATTGGAGAAATAGCACCTTAGAAAGGAAAGGGTAGAAAAGGCCTGAAAAGGGTTAAAATCCACTCCCCTCCCACCCCCCTACAATGCATGTGTCAGGAACTGGCAGTTCTGCTGCAGGACAAGACGAATCACAAGTTGCATTTGCACAAGTTTCCCCTCAGCCCTCCCACCCCAAACCCCTAAAAACTGCTCCAGGCTCTGGGACAGGCTCAGCTTCAGCCTCGTGGCTCTGCCCTTGGCCTCCCAGTTTTGGCAGCTACACTGGGCTCTTTCCCACCCCCCTTCCCAGTTCTGCCAGTTATACTGGGCTCTTCCCCTCCAGTATGGTCAACAAGACTGGGCTCTTCCCCCCTAGTTAATACTGGGCTCTTTTCCCCCAGTATGGTCAACAACACTGGGCTCTTCCCCCTCAATTTATACTGGGCTCTTTCTCCCCAGTATGGTCAACACGACTGGGCTCTTTCCCCCCAGTATGGTCAACACAACTGGGCTCTTTCCCCCCAGTACTGTCAACAACACTGGGCTCTACCCCCAGTTCATACTGGGCTCTTCCCTCCCCTCCCCAATCCCCTTTTTATCATCATCATCATCACCATCATTTCTGTATTCATGTCCTTAAAAAAACCCCATCTGGAACATTATCCCATTATCCCCAGACCTCCCTTCCCTCCCCAGTACAAGAGCCCAAGTCCCCACATCCCTCCCAGTCCCTGCCCACCCTTTCCCCAGCCCAATACACCAGTAAATAGCAAAAGAAAGGGAAATCAGAAGACCTACACACATGCTA